TTTCGGGGAGACAGACAGACAGCCACTTGACAACACACATTCTCATGTACGATAGAAAAAAAAAAATGGGACTCCTTCTTGATCCTCACACTCCCCTGGGTTACAGAGGTGAGACTAGCCCCCATCGTCTTCTACCCCAGTGCAGACAGTGCTCTTCAGGAGTTCTGAGCCATACAATTGTAGCTAGTGTGCAGTGGGTGCCCACTATGCCTTCTTGATACCTGGATTCAGATGGGTTCTGCTCCAGAGCTAAAGAACCCATAATCAGCCACTCTGTCCCCAGCTGCCCTGTAATTCTGACAGCCACTGAAACTAGTAACCTGAAGGACCTCCACAAACTACTTCTGGATTGGGTGTCCTGAGCTTGATAACGCCTAGGAACTCAGCTCTCATATCCTTTCTGCACCCACCTCATGAGTTCCTTGGCTGGAGCAGCCCCCAGAGTTTTCTCTTCTCTGGGTTCAACAAGTGCACCTGCACTTTTTTTTAAAGTTGATTTTTCCTTTCTGTGTTTCGTTGTTTTTGTGTACTTATTATTTTCCTGCTTCCTCTCTTTCCCTTCCCTTGATTTTCATTCTTTCAGTTTCTGCTTTTGTTTTCTCTTTTCTTCTGTTTCTCTTTTCTACCCTCTTCTCCATTTTTCTTCTTGAGTTTTCCTTACTACTCTGCAATCTCTTTCTGTTTTCATCTTCCCTCTGTTTTTTCAGTGTTTTTTTTCCCCTTCCTTTCATTTTCTCTTATTACTTTCTTATACAGCTCTGTTTTCTTGTCCCTCTTTTTAGTTATTCATACTCTTTTTTTCTTATTGCTAACCATTTTTGTTTCTTTTTTCTCCTTTATTTACTGTTGTTTTCTTGTTCTGTTTTGTTTTCCTATGTTTGTTTACTCCTCTTGTGCTACCCAACTGTAGACAACAACATGCCCATGCAGGTCAGCCTCAACTCTATGCTCTGCAGCTCCACCCACTGGACAGTAGTCAATACCGGATCCTGTACCGCCTTGTCAATGACAGACATAAGCCATAATCAGCCAAGCCCACCCTAACTTGAACTGTGTGAATGACACACAGAAAGTGGTGTATGTTTCCATTTTCTCATCACATCATGAGGAGACGAATAGTGAGACCCTAAGAACATGCAGTCATCAGTTTAATATAAATACTATGATAACACAAAATATTAGAGACAACAGAAGATTTGGGCTTACATGAAGAAATGAGAGTGGCTCAAATGACCAAGATGCAGAGCCAGAAAACATTTCTTAGGAAGAAATGGTAGTGGAACTACCTGAGAAATGATTCAGAAGAATGATGTTTACATACTTTTAATGGATTGACAGAAATATTGAGGAAAACGAGAACTCAGAAAAAACTTTAGAAGAATTTAGGAAAACACTATAAGAACAAACAGGCAAAATCAATGCAAATTTTGAAACAATATGAAACCTGTAGTTAGAAATCGAGAAGATTAATACTAGGATCTCAGAAATGGAAAATACATTGAAAGGGCAAATGAGTAGATTTTAATCAGTGGAAGCCTGAATTAGTGACCTTGAAGATAAAACTCTCAATACTAATAAGCTAGAAGAACAATCTGAAAAAACAAATCTCAGACAAAACCATGAAGTTTATATGGGATACCATGAAGAGGAATAACTTACGGGTGGTCAAAATTCTAGAACAGGGAAGAGACAATAAAAAATACAGATGAATTGTCACACAGTTGCTAAAAGAAACTCCCTTAACGTCATGAAAGGCGATAAGGTAAACATTCAAGAAGCTGAATGAACCTCAAATAGGAGAGACCCCAAAAGAAAATCATCAATACATATCATTATCAAACTTTTCAAAACCAAAGAAAGACAAGGAAATAATTTTGAGATCAGCTCTGGAAAAATGAAACATTACCTATAAAGGTGAACCAATAAGATCAAGCTCTGATATTTCAGAAGACACCAGGCAGACAAGAGAGCAATGGGATGACATATACAAATCTCTGAAAGAAAAGTATTCCTAACCAAGAATCATATACCCAGCAAAGATGTCCTTTAAATACAGTGGCGAGTTTAGGACATTTCCAGAAAGCAGAATTTAAAGGGATTTGTAATTGCCAGGTCTACTTTAAAAAAATTCCTAAAGGATGTTCTTTGGACTGAGAACCAATGACAACAGACAACAACCTGAGATTAACGTACATGACACCACTACCCAGAACTCAGTCCAGATATTGTTGTTGTGTGCCATCAAGTTGGTTCTGACTCATAGTGACCCTGAATAGGGTTTCCAAGGAACAGCTGGTGGGTTTGAACCACAGACCTTATGGTTAGCAGTCTAGTGCTTTCCTACAACATCATACCAGGACTTCCAGATATAAAATTATCTAAAACAAACTTACAAAACTGAAAATAGGGAACCAGAGATTATCAATTTATAATGAAATCAACTGTAAAGCAAAAAGAGGAAATAGTTGTAGATACAGAACTTTCAAATGATGGTAAGTCAAATAGATTTTGAGATAAAACAGGAAAACAGTTAACAGATTCTTTCAGGATATCCTCAAGGAAAATTAATACACCTTCACATGAAAATAAAAAAGTGGAAAATCAGAAAGATTTTGTAAACATCAAATCAACAGCAATGGTGAAAATCCACAAATAAAATGAACTCAGTGCAGAAATTAATGTGGGCCAAAGAAATTAGCAACATCACACACACACACAAAACACCCAGCAAAATGACAGCAATCAAGTTCCACTTATTGAGAATTAGACTAAATATAAATGTATTAAATGCACTAATCAAGAGTCAAACTAGCAGAATGGATACAAACTTTGGTACATACACACAATGGAATACATATGCAACATTGACGAATGATGAATCTGTAAAACACCTCATAACATGGATGAACCAGGAGGGCAAATAGTGTATGAGACCACTGTTGTAAAAGTTAAAAAAAGAGTTTTCTTCCTATAAAGAAACATTCTGTGATGGTTACCACAGGTGGGAGGGAAGGAAAGTTATTCACTGGATAGAGAGAGGGTAGTACACAAAAGAGAGTAGTAGTGAGGAAAGCAGTATACAAGAGGAAGACTGGCACAGAAAATATGAAGGCTGTAGAAGACATGAGTGCAAGAGCTAAAGTGAATAGAGGTAAAGTGATGGTACATGGACGGGATAGCAATCATTGTAATGACACAAAGTGTATGATTTGTTGAATGTGGGACTGATGATCTGTTCAATGAACCTTAATTCATAATAAAAAGTAAAAAAAAAAAAAAATTATGTATTGCTTTAGGCTTACTCATCTGCTTCAAGAGACATCTTTCTAAAATACTGAAGAGAAAAGATGTCACTTTGAGGACTAACGTGCACCTGATGCAAGCCATGTCATTTTTATTGACTCATATGGTGTGAAAATTGGATAAGGAATAAGGAAAACCACAGAAGAGTTGATGCTTTTGAATTATAATATTGGTGAAGAATAGTGAAAGTGCCATAGACTGCCAAAAGAAGAAACTAATCTGTTTTGGAAGAAGTACGACTAGAATGTTCTTTAGAAGGAAAGATGGGGAGACTTTGTCTCCTATACTTTGGACAGTATACAAGTCTCTAGACAAGTACATTATGCTTGGTAAAGTGAAGGGTCAGCAGAAAAAAAATAAGGCTCTCAGTGAAATGGTTGACATAGTGGTAGCAACAATGGACTCAAACATGACAATTGTGAGGATGGCACAGGACCGGACAGTGTTTTGTTCTTTTGTTCATAGATTCACTATGAGTCGGAACCAACTCAATGGCATCTAATAACAATAACAACATGATTTTGTAACAATTTTTTTTACTTAGTTTTATACATTTTAAAATTTATTTAAAATCATTTTGAAGTCATGCATTACTTTATATCAAAAGGAAATTATATGTGAAATCCATTGGTTAAGGCATTCCTAAAACTTCACACATTCAGAGTTTGACCTCTCTGTTTCTAACAGATATCCCATGTTTTTCTATACAGGATCTTCCTGTGTGTCATTAAGAATGTTGCTACTACAGGATTTCTTAAAGAATCCTTGTAAGAGCTTAAAGTCATTGGTGCTGGACTTTTAACCTGACTTACAATTATGTAGTTTGTTTACTTTTGACTCATATTTCTGGAATCTTACTGAAATTTAGGTAAATACAGGATTTACCACCCACCGTATTCCTCCCCATAGCCACTTTGTTTCTGTTGCTAAGTGCTGTCAAGTCATTCCCAACTCATAGCGTCTTTGTATATATTTCCCAAGAAGTGGCTGGTGGGTTTGAACCACTGACCTTTCAGTTAACAGTCCAGTGCTTATTCTACAGTGCCACACTTGGTTTCTAGGGACATTTTAATGCTTCCTTTTTGTCTCCTGGTCTTTCCCATTTTCCTATCCCATTTTGCAAGTTTTGCTGCACGTGCTATTGTTTACAAATGCACAGGCAAAGACACTACATGATAACTGCTTATTAACTGGCAGTTCTTAACAAGGCGCTATTTATTGACAATTCCAATTTCAGAACTGTAAAGAATGTGAAACTTCTGACCAGTTACTATATTGAAATACTAATGAAATACGGTAACAGTTCTAAGGATATAATCGTTCTAATTTTTGTCAGGTTTTCATAGGAATATGTATTTGAAGTTATTACCAGTTACCAGTTGCCATTGAGTCTGTTTTGACTCATGGTCATTTCGGGTGTATCAGGATTAGAACTAGGATTTCAATGGCTGGTCACCAGCCACATAAAGTCATGAGTGCCTGGCATGACGAAAATAGGCATTCAGTAAATGTAAACTGATTTTATTATTTCAGATTTAGGCTTTAAAATTAGATTAATTTAATATGTTATTGTTAAGTGTATTTGAATTGGTTCCAACTCAGCGACCCTGTATAGGGGTTCCAAGATGTTAAATCTTCATGGGAGCAGCAAGGGTAAATAGTACATTTTTTCATTTTTATGTTTTTCTTCTTCATAGGCAGTTAAAGGAAGAAAGTACCATTGGAAAAGAAAAATTAAGAACTATGGCAGTGAAAAATTCAGAAGTCATGGCACAACTAACTGAATCTAGACAAAGTGTTCTAAAGCTACAGAATGATCTAGATGATAAAGAAGAAATACTTCGAGAAAAGTTTTCTATAATGAATGAAAACAAAGAATTAAAGCTCCGAATTACAACACAGAATGAGCGACTAGATTTGTGTCACCAAGAAATTGAAAATTCAAGGATGGAACTGAGAAGTTTGGAAAAAATTATATCCCAGTTGCCAGTAAGTATGTGTGAAAGAAATATAATATACTTGATTAGATAATGGAAAAAGAAATTATACTGGTTTTAAAACTTTTATAACTGTTTTATTAACTTCTGTTTTTTTGCTGTCTATTCTCTAAGTCATTTGGTTTTTTATCTAGTCCCTATTATTTTTCTATACTTTCCTACTGTTTCACTCTTTTTCAATCTCTTAAAGACATCTATTAAAATGTAACAGAATTCAAAAAAACAAAAAGAAACAATCTTTATTTAGGTATTTTCATACCATAGAATTCACCCTCTGTATGTGTACCAATAATTTTGAGTAACTTTATAGTTGTATTAACTATCACCACAATCTAGTTTTAAAGCATTTTTATTGTTACCAATAGATCCCTTATGCCCATTTTACAGTTAATCCATGTCTCCACACTAGCTCCTCGGGAGAAACAGCTTTTTGCTCCCACAAAGATTTAAAGCCTTGGAAGCCCTACACAGTGTACTATGAGTTGTGACAGAATCTATAGCACATAACAACAATAACAACCCATGCCAGACCCAGACACCAACTAATCTTTTTTCCTTCCCTATAGATTTGTTTTTTCTGGACATCTCATATAAATAGAATCATACAATAGGTGGTCTTTTGCATCTGACTTAATGTTTGTTTGTTTTTAATGTATTGTGAATTATGTGATAGTTTACATGGGAGAACGTTAACTTTACATTCATCCTGTCGTATATCGTTTCATTGCTATGGTTACAATCCCTTCCATGCATCATCAAGCAACCAAAGGGTATACCCTGCAAGCCTGCTCCCTGGTCTTCAGCACACAGTTCCTCTCCCTCTCTGAGTCTAGAGTCCCTAGCCACTCCATCTCTCCATGTCATCATCTCTGCCTCTATCTCTGGCATCACTGCTTCTCTGGGTAGGGTCTTGCACTCGCTTCTTCTCCCTTGATAGTTCCAGGGACCTCAGCTCCTGGACTGCATAGTCAGTCACTCCCTTCCTTTTGCTACATAATGTCCACCTTTACATTTCCAACCCTTGCAGTCAGTCCTGATACAATTAGTCACCATTGTACCACAAGGGATTTATCCCCATCTCCTTTCATTAGCCCCACCTAGATACATTGGATACTACTCAGTGGTGAGTCTACCTTCATCCATGCCCTCTGGATCTAGGTCCCTCTTGAAAGCTTGTAAGCCACTCACTTCTTGCCTTTGTAGCTTCCCCCACCCCCCATTTTGGGTAGCCAATGTCTAAGTTGCCCATCCTTGTCAACCCTGTGTACTGAGGGTATGAGAATGACCCTTGATGTAAAGATTTGTTCCATCTTTTGAGCTACTGTATACATAGGTGTAGCTCAAGTTTATCAAATTGTATCAGATTACTCTTTTTTTTTTCTCCTCTTTCTTCTTCTAGTTGAGCTCTGATCATCCAGTCATTGAAGCCAAGTTGAGTGGGTATTATCTGCAAGTGTGGATGTTCTTATGTATATGCCCTCTTTTATCAGCTGGATGCATCACTCTCCACTCTAGTTCTCTGTGGCTGTGTCACTTACTCTTGGCCCAAGAGTCCCCAGGTCTTGCCACATTGCTGGCCAACCAAGTCTCCACCCAGGTTCACAGGAGTCTGTTGAACCTTGTAGGTCTTAGCTTGCAGCTTCATTGCTGTTTTTCCCTCACTTCCTCTTACAGGTGACAAATGTGGTCACCAATCAGAATGCATGTCTGCTCGTGTATTCCCATTGAGTCTTAGTCTTGGAAGGGGGTTTGCCCTGAGGGGACCCTGACTTAATGTTTTCGAGATTCATTCATGATGTGTAACTATTTCATGTTTCTGTCTATTGTTTAATAGTATTCCTTTATATAGTTATACCGCATTTTATTTATCCATTCACAAGTTAATGAGACCACCACTCGTCTGTCAGTTTGTCATACTGTGGTGGTTTCTGTGTTGCTGTGATTCTAGAAGCTATGCCATGGGAATTTTAAATACCAGCTAGGTCATTCATGGTGGACAGGTTTCAGCTGAGTGTCCAAATGAAAACAGACTAGGAAGAAGGATAGATGGACTACTTCCGAATATTTAGTTACTGAAAACCTTATGAATAGCAGTAGAACGCTGTCAGCACCAGATTATCGAATATTGAAACATGAATTTTGTCGGATACAGTGCCAGAAGATGAGCCCCTCAAGTGGAAAGGCACATAAAATGCAACTGGGGAAAAACTGTTCCTCCACAAAGTACAATTGAACATGATGACACAAATGGAGTAGAGCTTTCAGGACCTTCATTTACTGATGGTGCACAACTCAAAAGTAAGAGACACAATTGCAAACATCCAATAATAACCAGAATATGGAATGTATTAAGTATGAATCTAGGAAAATTGGAAGTTGTCAAAAATGAGATGGAAGATACAAAGACCTATATCCTAGGCACTATTGAACTGAAATGGACTGGCATTGGCCATTTTAAATTTGACAGTGTCGTGGTTTACTATCCCAGGAATGACAATTTGAGGAGGAATGGCATCACATTCATCATCAAAAAGACCATTTCAAGATCTTTCTTGAAGTACAATGCTGTCTGTGATAGGATATCAGTACGCCTACAAGGAAGACCAGTTAATACCACTATTATTCAAATTTACACACCAACAACTAAAGCCATTGATGATGAAATTTAAGATTTCTACCAACTTCTTCAGTCTGAAATTGATCAAACATGCAATGAAGATGTATTGATAATTACTTGTGATTGGAATGCAAAGGTTGGGAACAAAGAGGAAGGATCAGTAGTTGGAAAATATGACCTTGGTGATAAAAATGATGCTGGAGATCACATGATAGAATTTTGCAAGACCTATGACTTCTTTATTGTAAAAACCTTTTAAAAATAACATATAAGATGACTATATACATGAACCTCACCAGATGGAATACACAGAAATCAAATTGACAACATCTATGGAAAGAGGTGGTGGAAAAGCCCCATCTCATTTGCCAAAAAAAGGTCTGGTGCAGACTGTGGAACAGACCATAAATTGCTCATATGCAAGTTCAGGCTGAAGCTGAAGAAAATACAAACAAGTCTATAAGAACCAAAATATGACTTTGAACATACCCTACCTGAATTTAGAGATCATCTCAAGAACAGATTCGATGCATTAGACACTAACGGCTGAAGACCAGAAGAGTTGTGGGATGACATCAAGAACATCATATAGAAAGAAAGCAAAAGGTCATTGAGAAGATAAGAAAAGGAAAAGACCTAAAAAAGGATATCAGAAGGAACTCTGAAACTTGTTTTCCAGTGTAGTGATGCTAAAGCAAATGGAAGAAATGATGAAGTAAAAGAGCTAAATAGAAGATATCAAAAGGCAGCTTGAGAAGACAAGGTCAAATATTATAACAAAATATGCAAAGACTTGAAGTTGGAAAACTAAAAGGGACAAACATGCTTAGCTTTCCTCAAGCTGAGGGAACGAAAGAAAAAAATTCAAGTCTCGCCTTGCAATATTGAATGATTTTATGGGCAAAATATTTAATGATGCAGAAAGCATCAAAAGAAGATGGAAGGAATACACAGTCACTGTACCAGAAGGAGATGGTCGATGTTCAACCATTTCCAAAGGTAGATATAATCAAGAGTCAATGATACTGAAGAAGTCTAAGGTGCACTGAAGACATTGACAAAGAGCTAGGCTCTGGGAATTGATGGGAAAAAACTGAAATCTTTCAAAAAACTGATGAAGCACTGGAGGCACTCACTCTTCTATGGCAAGAAATTTGAAAGACAACTACCTGGCCAACTGACTGGAAGAGTTACATATTTATGTCCATTCCAAAGACAGGTGACCCAATGGAATGTGGAAACCATTGGACAATATCATTAATATCCCATGCAAGTAAAATTTAAAATCAGCTGCATCCTTACATTGACAGAGAAGTTCCAGAGGTTCAAACCAGATTTGCAAGAGAACATAGAATGAGGGATGTCATTGCTGACGTCAGATGGATTGTGGCTGAAAGCAGAGAATACCAGTAAGGTAGTTTCCCTGTTCTTTATTGACTACACAAAGGCTACGATTGTGTGGATCATGACAAGTTATGGACAGCATTGTGGAGAATGAGTATTTTGGAACAGTTAATTGTGGTCACGAGGAACTTCTACATAGACTAAGAGGCAGTTGTTCCAAGAAAACAAGGGAACACTGAATGGTTTTAAATTAGGAAAGGTGTGTGCTAGGGTAGTATTCTTTCACCATACTTATTCAGTCTGTATGTTGAATAAATGATTTAAGAAGCTGGATTGTATGAAGACAAATTTGACATTAGGATTGGAGGAAGGCTTATTAACAACCTGCGTTATGCAGATGATACAACCTTGTTTGCTGAATGTGAAGAAGACATAATAAAGTACTTACTGATGAAGGTCAAAGACCACAGCCTTTGGTATGAGTTGCACCTCAATGTGAAAAAAACAGAAATCCTCACCCTGAACCAATAAATAGTATCCTTATAAATGGAGAAAAGATTGAAGTTGTCAGAGATTTCAGTTTGCTCTGATCAACCACCAACACTCTTGGAAGCAGCAGTCAGGAAATCAAATGATGTATTGCATTGGGCAGATCTCCCCAGGACCTCTTTAAAGTGTTGAATAGCAAAGATGTCAATTTGAGGACTAAGGTGGGCCTGGTGTAAGCCATGGTGTTTTCACTAACTTCGTATGTATATGAAAGTTGGGCGGTGAATTAGGAAGACCATTAGAAGAATTGATGCATTTGAGTTATGGTGTTGGAGGAGAATGTTAAAAGTACCATTAACTACCAAAAGAACAAAGCAATCTGTGTTGGAAGAAGTACAACTAGAATGCTCCCTGGAAGCTAGGATAGCCAGATATTATCTCTCATACATTGGACATATTATCAGGAGGGACCTGTGTCTGGGAAGGATAAAATGGAGGGTCAGAAGACCCCCAACGAGATGGGTTGGCACAATGGCAACAGT